TAAAATATATAACAGCCAAAAGAATACAACTGGGTTTTGAATTGTTTATTTTCTACATGAATCATCTGGAAACAGTTGCTGATTTAACAGATTTTGCAATTGGTCATTTAAACTGATTCTAGTAAAGAATCGGGTGTTCATTATTGTTTTATTAGGTGTGGTCTCATATTCAAGATCATCTCCTGCTGAACATCTGAACTGATTTAAGTGGTGCCAGCTCATTTGAGGTCTTACAGTGAAAGTCCTCTTGTACTTGGTCCACTGTGGTGGGTATTGGCACAAAAAATTACTATGCTTTTACTGAATTGGAAACGCCACATTTCTCGTTATTTCCACGTAACCTCTCACTTTGTAGAATACAGATTGTTGATATAACCCCATACATACGAGCTGGAGAGAAGGGAGGAAAGACAGTCTTTCTTCTGGTCTTACTCCTTACCTGATGTGCGGTTTTGGAAATGGGCTGCTTCAGCTGAAAACAGCTCACACCTTTTTGGTCACACCTTGGATACTGTTTCATTCTTATCTGCTCACATTAAACATGGCCAGGATTTGATATTGAGGTATGTGAACAACTAATTTCTGTGAGTCAAAAGCTCACTGAGAGTAGACCGCACTTATATGGTCATCTCAGTTACTCAGGCCTGTTTATGAGGGACAGCCAATCAAAAGAAGATTGGCTTAAAGTAGGGGAAGTCAAACTAGCTTGTTTCAGATAGAAGATAAATTGAGGGACTTCAGCAAGGTCCAGTATAGGATAAATAAGGATTATTTTGCATTTTGAATCATTCAAAGAATTTAGGAAAAAAAATGAGCGCAATCGACCCTTCTAACCAAATTTGTAAAACAGTAAACTATTCTGGTCACAGTCATATTTACAAAGAAGTCAAATAATGAAAATACTCTTTATTCAGAGCCCTGACCCCAGGTCATTACTTCTGCACAGAACAAACTTTGCCCTTTGTTTCTTAAACTGAAATCATGTCTCAAAGAGAGACAAGATTTCAGGGGTAGCAGAAGGACCTCTTCTTGCACTCTTGGACACGAAGAGTGAATGTAAGCCTCAGTCTGTTTGTCTTTTAGTACCCTGAGATTCAGGTGGAAACATAGTGTCGAATATGATAAAGGATGAGAAAAAGATCATTAACAGAGCACTTTCCTCTCTTACAGCCAGAAGCAGTTCAGACCTTATACATGAGAGTGCTGCATCTCCTGTATCGTTTCAGGCCCGAGTGTCACTCCATGGTGAGTGTTAAATATCAAATTCTGCTTCTGCTCTAAAATGCTCAGACAGTGAATGTTCCTTCTCTTAGTTGGCTTGATGATGATGATGTCTTTTCTGCAGATCTGTGACCTTTTTGCAAGCTTGTATTTTAGTTCACAGTGAAGGAACGTGTTCAAATATGACACACAGCATCCAAGCCTTTATGTCTGCAGTGCCTGTAGTTGAATTGATATGTGTGATCTGTCTTCATAGCAGTGAAAATGCTATCTGACAGAAACATTATAGAACCTTTTGAGTGTATGAATGTCAATTTCTGATGTGAGAGCAAATGCAACATGTTCAGTTTGCAGCTGATGTTTCTTTTGTCTGTGGTCTGGATTTGTAATTTGTTTTCCACAGGTTCCGCTTCTGGAGAACATTCAGTGTCCAGCCTATCACGAAGGGGCAACTGCTATCATGAGTGTCTACACACGCATGTGAGTTTACCCATTTTCTGTCTGGGATATCAGGCTGCTTGGTTATAGCAGAAATTCCAATCACGATGACTGTGATGAGTGACAGTAACCTTGATTATTCAACACAGTTATTGAAACTGATGACACAGTGTGATCCTGTAGGCCACAGGTGTCGAACTCCAGGCCTCGAGGGCCGGTATCCTGCAGGTTTTAGATGTGTCCTTGATCCAACACAGCTGATTTAAATGACCTCCTCAACATGTCTTGAAGTTCTCCAGAAGCCTGGTAATGAACTAATAATTTCATTCAGGTGTGTTGACCCACGGTGATATCTAAAACCTGCAGGACACCGGCCCTCGAGGCCTGGAGTTCGACACCCCTGCTGTAGGCAGTTAGGCCCTGGCTAGGCTATGGTATATCATATGACTTCCTCCTATTACATTATTATCAGTTCACTGGGGCCAAATATCAATATTTCTATTACAAGTCCAACTCAGTAGAAGGTGGGAAGCTGTATAAAATGTACATAAAAACAGAATGAATGAATCTGCAACTCTCATAAACCCATATTTTGTTCACATGGAACTTTTTTGGGAACTTAAATGATGCAAAACTATAATTGAATAATAATAAATGCACACCAACACTATAGTGAAGTAAAATGGAGAAATAAATGATTGTGCTGCACCCTGAAATAAAGCAGAGAGGTTCAAACTGTAGATATTTTTGCATGTATGAGGGAACAAAGTGTAGCGTACACTGCTGGTTTTGTCTAATCTTAGTTTACAACTGTGAAATGTTTTTTGTGTGTTTATCGTTTCTTTCTAGGTGGCAGTTTCTGCCTATGTGTTTGGTGTATGATTTTTCACTCAATGATCTGCTGGCTCCAAGTAAGTCTCACTGATTTCATTCAATAGTTTGTGGTTTGCATCTTGCATAAAATACCCCTCATACATTCAAATGTCTTTTTGTTTTTTTTGTTTTTTTATCAGCAGTCTAGATCTCCCAAATATTCAAATTTAGAGATTGTGTTTAATGTACAATTTTCTTTGATGATAATCTTGGCCTGATTTCTCCAGAAAAACAGAGGACTCTAACCATTCTGAGCGCCATCATGAACTTTCTCCACTTCAGAAAGCAGAGGATGGAGGTCGTCTTGGAGAAGCAGACTAAATTTGTATGTTTTCTTGGGGAACATAGAGAATTGTGTGGAATGGGGAGTAAAATAAAGGATGAACATTTTGTTCTCATAAATGACTCCAATATGCATAACTGTACCCTTTTACGAAGACTTTAGACGACATGTTGCAAATCACTTTTAATCATGAGAGTAGAATATGGAGTAGAATAAGGTTCAGTACGTTGGATTATTATTTTATATACCATTCCAATGTGTTTGTTAGCCTCGCAGTAATACTGTTGCTCTGTGTGTTTTCAGCGGGCAGACATGGACAGACTGCAGGCTTATACTAAAGGCATCAGGGAGGCAGAGAAGAAGATTGAGATGCTGACGTAAGTGGAGGAACGATTCTGTGACTTTTGTTGGTGTTGTTTGGTGTATGGCTGGAAAAACATGCCATCCCTGAAACAATCCAGGCCACAACCATTTAATAACATTTTTATGCTCATTAGTGGAGACAGCTGCTAATTTTTCCAGAAAGAAGAGCTAATCCAAGGCTGTCTGCTCAATCAGAACTCTTTCCTATTGCTTAGGCTCAAAATGAGAAACTACAGACTGAATTTTTGTTTGTCTCACTCACAAGAAAAGATAACTCTGATCCCCGTGTGCCACTATAGGCAGATATTTAAGGTAAGGGGATCCCTTACATTTCAACACAAGGTGATCCCTGTGTTAAAATGGGTCCCTGTCCAACAGGAATCTCCCACACAGTTTATGTGGCTGAGCTTCTACATGGAAAAGTAATGACATATGTAGTGATGGTAAATTTGATTCTTTTTACTGAATCGAGTTTTAATGAGTCATTTGATTCACTGAGTCAGTCGACCAGAGAGTGCAAAAAAATGTACATTTTCACTCAAACTTAATTTGTTTCTCTTTTCATGTAAATCCTACTGCTAAGATGAATGATTCTAAAAGAAAACAACTAAACAGCAAAAAAGAGCAGAAACATTTCTAAAATTAAGCAATTTCCTATCAAAATTGCTTAATAAACATTTATTTTATTAGTATTTTCCTTAAATGTGTTAAATATATATTTTCTCATCTAAATGTCCACTGAGCTGTGAGCCAGGGGGCAGTAATGTGCCTTAACATTGGTTGCCAACCAAGAAGAAGAAGAAGCTGTGAGCCAGGAGGGAGGGGGTGAGTGAGTGAGTGATTCATTGACTGTATCCCAATTCAGGGTCTGCAGCCTTAAAGGCCGCATTTTAAGGCCGATTACGTCACAGCGACGCAACGAAGGCTGTCCCAATTCGAAGGTTGCTTAAAATGCGGCCCTCAAATGCGTCCTTCATTTCCCTGAATTTTAAGGATGTGGCGGTGTAGACCTCATGGCCCAACATATCCCAGAATGCATTATGCACAATGCGTTGGGTGTGGATAATTTTGCCGAAAAAAAACGGCGGATGAGGGGCGCCCGAAGAGTAAACTTTAAGTACTGACTATTATGGCACTTATTTATGTGCAAATGTTTAATAACGAAGAACATTAAAACATTACTGTTGGCCACATGCTGGCAAAGTTATGTGACATTAGTGACGTTTGTACTAATTTGGTTTTAAAGCCTTTACTTTAAAATATACGCTGTTCAATAGCTGACCTTTATCTTAGAAACAAACAAATGAACAAAACATTTTCTCCTTCATTTCTGTCAAACAAAGCTGTATGTTTCCAGCTGTTAGTATCATGGTTGCTAGGCAACCTTGGCAGCGCAACGGAGGCTAGACCTTCCCATTTCACAAGCCTCGCACTTCCGGCCTTAGCGGTCTTTGAGTACGCGGCCCTTGTGGACCGTTAAGGCTGCGTACTTTAAGGCTGCAGACCCTGAATTGGGATACAACCATTCAGTCTATGATTCAGCACAGGAAGGGAGGGGGTGAGTAGCTCAAATGTGCTGTTAGCATGTTAGCAGAGCGATGCTACTGTGAACCGAGGAGCTATTTTCTTGATGTGAGCTTCTACTCAGGGTTTTTTCTTCCAGTTCAGAGCAGAAATGTTTTTGTTACGATACTGGATGTTGTGTTTTTCTCCACAATTTTAATTATAGGCTAGATACATTGCTGCTAACAGCAACAGGGATGAGTCAGTGAGTCAGTTGGGCTTGTGAATCATGATTCATGAGTCAGTAAAGTGATTCTCGAGTATTATTGAACGATTCGTTCATGATTCGCGCATCACTAGACATATGTTATTTCCCGATCTCACTGTCTGGGAATGCACAATGTATGACCCTTTTTTCTTTTTTTTTCTTTTTTTTAATTATTTAAAGCAACAGAATGATTGACTAATAATCTATCAATTGTCTCTTATGAGTAAATGAACAGTTATGCAGGCTAAGCACTGCACTTTGTCTTGTCCTTACTCAGGACCATCCCACCAGAGCAACAGGCTGAGGCTGATGAGCTGGCAGCTGCTCTCTCTGAGCTACAGGCCACCACCATGCATGAATACCAGGAAGTGGTAGGGGGTGATGAAGCATGCTCAGTGTAGTAAAAGGTATTGTGTGTGCCATCAGTAAATAAAAAAAAAAACAAAAAAAACAAACACTTTTATTTTCAGAATGCCAAAAACGACAGCATCACAGAGTGGAAAGCTACGATAGCAGAGAAGACCCAGAAACTGGTAAGCTGCCCGAGCACTTTACACTGTTGTCTGTGTGCACTCGGAGTTTTGACTGGCAAATATAAGTGCGAGTTTTTGTGCATCAGGCCCAGGTGAAGCTAGATGTCAGCAACCTGAAGGAAGACATCAGCAAACTGAAGTCTCAGATCGTGGAGTCTCCAGAGGAGCTAAAGAGCCAGATGGAGAAGATGAGGGAGAATGTGAAGAACATGAAGAACTCCATTGTGAGTGGAAAACGTCTTTGACTCCAAAAGCTGCTGCGTTGAGTTGATGTGTTTGTGATCCACGTGTATGATGGCTGTTTTCAGGAAGAAACAGACGAGCGTGTGGTGGAGCTCCAGAACATGGTGCAGGGTGTGACTCACACCGAGGCTGAGATCCAGCAGATGTGCAGCCTTCTGCAGGACCTGGAGAGCAGCATGAGCAACACCAAGCAGCGGCTGGAAGAGGTACAATGTCAGAGCAGCTGCTCTCTTCTTTATCTATACACACATAGACCGGATGTACAGAGTGGGACACCTGGAAGAAAATTATGTAATGTCTGTTTGATATTTTCTTTTCTATTCCTGAAGCTTTTGCTCACTGCCTATGAGCTTTTTTTTTTTTTTATACACTGCACTGTTGCAGTATATTCTATTTAATTTAATATCAGACATATTTATTATCAGCATGGAGACGGTAAGTAGTTGTATACACACTTAAATGTTTGGGGATTGAGATTTGAAGAACTTGTCGGCCCAGCTGTGACGGACGGGAAGTTCTCTTCTTGTCAGAAGTTCATTAAAAGAAAGCAGCACAAAAACAATCAGCCTGTTAATCCAGTAACAAGCTGCCGAGCTGCAATGCTTGAGTAAATTGTTTTTGCTTTAAACAAATTGAAAGTCAAAGTAATATGAAGACACTTTGCTTGCTTTGGTACTTACCCAAGTGCCCTGTAGTTGTGCATTTTCTGACAATGAGCACAGAAGCGCCATCCATCTGCTGTTTGTGAGGGATAAAACAGAGGAACTAATACAGCTTTTTTCAAAAGAGAGGATGAACGATTGAGCTGCACTGAGGCCCAAAATCATATTTGTACTTGCTTTTGACTCTTCAATCTTCTCTGACCTGAGCTGATGTGACACAGCCAAAGGGCTATCTATACCACTATATAGTCCTTATATACCACTATATTATTATATTATAGGAGATAAAGTCATTTAGCTTTTAAAAAAATAAAATAAAATTCTTGTGTTTAAAGTTCAAACTCAACAGTGCAGTTGATCATTGATTTGTGTATCCATGTGGTTTGTGTGAATGAGTAGCACCAGGAGCTGATGGCTCAGTATGAGAAGAAGCAGAAGGAGCTGAAGAACCTGTGCATGGAGGAAGGCCAGCTGAAGCGAGCTTTGGGCATGAAGCAGGATAAGGAGTGCAAACAGAACATCCGCAGGCAGAAGAAGAGAGAGATGAAGGAGCAGCACGTTCAGGAAGTGTTGGGGTATTAACTTTAGTGGAGTTAATAAACTGCAAGATTCCTGATGCGGTAGATTCACAAGAGCGTTGTATTTCCGAAAGACTTAAATGTGATAAACTGACATATGAAAAAAACCAAACTTAACTTTTCTGCAGGCAGTGTGACCAAATCCACCAGAAGCGTGAGGACATGGCTGACAAAATCCAAGAGATCTCCGCTGAGACGCAGAAGCTGAAGACCAGCATTAAGAGCCTGAGAGACGTGTGCAGCAAAGAGACAGAGAAGGCTCAGGTACAGGCAGCTCCCGTCTGCTCGCTGTTCATTCATAGTTTGAGAGTAACACGATCCCCTTCTGTGTCCAGGCCCTCTATGACACACTGTCCACATCCATGGATGAGCTCCACAAGAGGATTGAGATGCACACCATGGACCTGAAACTCAGTCTAACCAAGATGTCTGCAAACTTCTAATCTCTCTCTTTTTTTTCTTTTTTGAAAACCTGTATTTACTAATCTGTCGGGTGTTTTTTTTTACTCTTGACTTTGTCTTTCTGAGTGTTTAAATTCTATAAATAAAGTTTGTACATTAATGAACTTGAATTTTGACACATAAATAAAACCAGTCCAGGAAGACTACTGATGTCAAACATCAACTGACTAGTACAATACAACCTCACACAGCTGGACTGGCCATCAGCCCACCAGTGATTTTTCGTTTTTATGGGGCAATGTTGTTTGTAACGGTATGAACAATGAAAGGTGGTGGACTGGACAACTGGTTAATCAACTCTGGGCTGGACCAATTACAGCCGAGGTCAGATGCACCCTCCCCCTTGCTTGGGCAACGGTCCTGAAAGCAATTTCATCACGGTACTGAGATGAAAACGAATGAGATTTCTCCCATACTTAGCCTAGAATGCGTCTTTACGCTGGACAGCTGCCTCTTCTCCTCTCCCTCTCCTGTTGCTACTTCAATCATGAAACTGATCAATGATCAGCTGATCAGCTTTTCTGTCGCACGTCCCGTCTCTCGTTTGTTTATCGCCCACTTTGCGCCAGAAAGAGGAAACCAGTGGATGTCAGGTAGGGCATAAACAGGGAAAGACGGGCACAAAGGAATACTTTTCTTTCTTATTCTCATTTAAAATGTCTAGCTTTTAATAAATAATTATCTGAATCTTACAAATAAAGTTTTTATCTGATGTAAAATGTATAGAAGTCACATCACCTTACCATTGATTTCATATGTGCAAAATACGCAGAGCTGATGTAGATGCTGCATAAGCAAGACCAACAGCACGTGTATGTTTTAACTAAACTAACACGTGTGGTGCTGGGACACCATGGAGGGACTAGCTTTAACAGCGGATCTGTTTAGAAATGTAGCCTTATCCATTGAAGTGTTAATTCCAGAATGTAAATATTGTGTGGCTGTTGGGAATTTCTGTGGTTGAGGAACATTAATGAATACACAAATAATTTCTTAAGCGCTCACCAATAGGAGGGGAGAAGTTGCAAAGTGCAGAGAAATGAAGATTTGTAAACCATCTGAACATGTGGATGGTAACTGTGAGGCTGCAGCAGATCTATAGATGGTTAAGAAATTATTTTAGAAACAATATCTGCATGGCTGTTATAAACCTGATGTTTATGATACCTGTTTTAAAGAGCACACAAGTAGGTAGGATGGTAGGAATGACAAGAACCTGGAGATATTGGTTTGTGTCCTTTCACTCAACATTCAATTTTGTTTTTATTTTCCCTTTTCTCTGGTTTAGACACTAGAACTACATGTTTAGGCTAAAAATGAAAATGATATATATATATATTGCAGTTGTGACATGGGGAATAAGACTCGCCTCACTACACAGGGCCACTGCTAAAGGACATCTTTTGTATACATTGGAGACACCAGCGTCTTTGGCTAAACATCAGTATTTGACTTCCTGGAAATGAGAACAGGTTCACTGGTCAGTGATCAAACCTTTATCAATGTGATTGTTTTCTGCAGTAAATTGCTATGGTAACATACAAATCCACACGTTCATTATCAAAGTGAATACAACAATCTTACTAACAACTTTCTTCTTATATGATTTTCATGTGTATCTGCTGCTGTGTGTTAGTTGCAGAGCTATTGCTGAGGTAAAAGACGATCAGCTGACTCCTAGCTGTTTGGGCTCCTGGTAGGCTGCTTCTTCTAAGGGCTGTGACTTCTTGGGCTTCTTTAAGAGAGCCAGCTGAGCTCTGACGTCTTTAGCCTGAGTCCTGGCCAAATGCAGCTCCTTCCGCAGCTCGTTGATTTCAGCAATCAGAGTCATGTTTTCCTGCAAAGTCCAAAGTCGTGGCTAGATAACTATCAATTCAGCAGGTCTTTACTCCACATTACACTTTCACACTCTGTCATACAGGATATGTTAAGACTTCAGAGTTGCATTGTTAATGACTAATGCCAATGTACTGTTGTGATCTGGATAATGACTAACCTTCATGATTTTGGTGTAGACCTTTTCGTGCTCCTCTGCAGATTTGACCAGCCTCATTTTGAGGCCATTTACTGTCCTCTCCTGTCGATCACACTGGTGACGCAGCGCCTTCTGAACAGTATCATCTGCATTGGTTCTCTCCACCTTTCAAACGGGACATACACTTGATAGTTTGATTTCAAGCCCTCCCAGCATCCAGGCAGCTCTTGGGGTATTTCTTAGCACACTTACCCTTTCAGTCTGCTGGACATATCGAGCGTATATCATCTGTATGTTGTCCTTCAGAGTTTTAGGCTCCTGGATGAAGCCGACACAGTTGTGCAGGTCTGATTTCAATCGCTGGAGATGCGTCTCCAAATCTTTGACCTGACAACAAAAAACAAGAGAAGCCCATTCTTATATTAAAAAAGGAATGATTTTTATTACACTTTTATCCTCAAAGCTTAAAGAGGATCTATTCTGCTCACTTCCAGCTTTATATTTTTATTCCTCGATTTTACTACAGTACATGTAGCCCAGTAGATTCACAGTTAAAAACAATCATCATTTACCTTATACTTGGCCTTCATGCAGCTGTTCACCTTGTGTCTGAAACAGGTTTTAGTTTCCGCCACCCTACATTTCCTCTGATTGGCTGCCACTTGTAAGCAAGAGCTTTTGGGTGGAGCCAAAGTCCTTCTAGGACCTAATCTTGCCACTTGGCATTAATGTTAGCAGTACCTCAAATCTGATTTAAAAAAAAAAAAAAAAAAAAGAGTTGCTGATTTTGATTCTGGCCCAGTGGGTTTAAAAAGTTTTCTTTGCAGATTTCTCCATTAGACTTCAATTCAAGATTCTCTGAATGCCACTTCTTTCTCAAAAGAGTTAGGTCCACAATTATTTGCACAATGACACAGATTATGTAGTTTTGCCTCTTTACTTTAAAAAGGAAGCGTTGTTTGTTTACTGACCTTCTGACTCTCCTTGCACATCTCTTTGTCTCTGGTCTTCAGTTTGAGCTTCAGCTCAGAGACGGTGAGCTTCAGCTGAGCATTGCTCTTGTCGGTTTGTATCAGCTCTTCCTCCAGCTGCCGAACACGAGAAATAGCACGACACTGTAGCTGGTAGTGTTGACACTGTTTTAACTTGACTACAATTAAAACAAGGTCAACCGAGCACAGCAAACTTTATTTCTGTCTAACTTTTTAACTCAACACTATTCAAATGGCAAGAAAATGTACAGGAACCCTTATGAATCATCTACATTTATGTATTCAACAGTCTCCACATATGTTTTCTAACCATGCGTTAACACAGTGCTAAGCTTTTTCATCTTTCACATACCTGACTGATCCGCTCCTTCTTCACACTGATGTCATGTTGCAGAGGCTCAGTTTTCTGCTTTAACTCATTCAGCTGGAATTCAAGAACAAACTTTAACTTCTCCAGTTCCTGATTCTTTCTCTTCAAGCACGAGATAATGTGATCCTGTGAGAACATGAACAGGTTGAACGGTTTTAGAGTTCAAAGGTTTTCATACATGAATTCTGAACAATGTCAAGAGAATCTGGTCCAGATCAGTCTCCATATGTCATGTAGTCAAACTGAATTAGACAGTACAATTTTACAGCTAATGTAGAGAAGAGCTCAGAGTTGAAGTGCATTGTAGGAAAACGTGTCTGTCTTTCAGTAACTCAGCGCTTTAAAATATGCTTATATTATACTTATATGCTTATAATATGCTCATATTCCCATAAATGTATGCACAGTAACACAGCACTTAAGCTTCGCTGAGAAATCTACACTGCACCTGCATCACAACTGCAACCCCTCTGACACTCTTCAATAAACCTACAACATAACCTGACGCACTCCTTTGTAGAACCAGAAGACATATCAACGCAGCCCACAGCTGTTGTGGCTGGCCTGTTCGTCCTGTGTATTTCTGGCTATTTTTCAACGCAATCATCATCTCATCTATAATGACTCATAAATGTCAGCAAATTCCTGGAGGGAGATCTGTGAAGCTATTAGGATGGTCATGAAGGAAAGTACAAAGAAGCAGAAAAACTTGAGGAACAAATAAGTGAGCACTGAGCACCAGAGATGGACAGTAACACGCGTTACTGTAATCTGATTACTTTTTTCAAGTAACGAGTAAAGTAAGGGATTACTATTGCAAAAACGGTAATTAGATTACCGTTACTTTCCCGTAGGAACGCTGCGTTACTGCGTTACTAAAACCGTGATTTTTTGCGAGAATGTCTCACGACAGTGACGTAAGAGAGTGCGCCGTTAGTGACAACAGCTGTGTGCAGATCAACAGTGGATCATATATGAGTGTGGGAGAGAGTATGAGCGTGCAGCGTTTAAAGCGTGGAAGTACTGACCTTACTTTGAGTTTGATTCCATAAAAAGTGACAAAAACATTAGCGTCCATCGTGCGTGGGAAGAAAACTTCTTTTTACAGCGAAAAAAACCCCTAAACTTCCAAGCAAGCACCGAGTAGCTACGAGGTAATGGGAAACTCACAGAGAAACTCGCGGATTCTTCAATTGACCGCGGCACACCTGCACCAGGGTAAACCTCCGCCTACCGTAGTCCTGCTTTACAGGTGAAAATAGAGCAACAGGACCGCTGAGTCTTTGACTTTATTTATTTTCTGCTGTGTTTTACTTGCATCTATTTGAAAGAGTGAGTGTAAACACAAAAAATATTTTATTTTATGTGCTGGAATGTGTAGAAAATAGGTTTAAATGTTAAACTAATTTATTCAAGTCAGAGAATGTTGCATATAATTAAATTTTTGCTTGATGCATAAAGTTAAAAGATTAAAACTGATAAAACAAGTTTTAAAAAGGGACTTTTCCATTTGATTACATTTTGTATGATGGATTATGTAGAAAAAGTAGAATTGGACTGAAAGATCTATCGCTTTATCACCTCTTCAGGTTGTAAATCGTGTTTTTAAAAAGTAACTAAGTAATTAATTACTTTTGAAAATAAGTAATCAGTAAAGTAACGGGATTACTTTTTTGGGGAAGTAATCAGTAATTAGTTACTGATTACTTTTTTCAAGTAACTTGACCAACACTGCTGAGCACAACAAAGAGCAGGAACTTGAGGGGGCGAGAA